TTTACTAAAAATTATCATATCTATAGATAAAGGTACTTTACTAAAAATTATCATATCTATAGATAAAGGTACTTTACTAAAAATTATCATGTATATAGATAAAGGTACTTTACTAAAAATTATCATGTATATAGATAAAGGTACTTTACTAAAAATTATCATGTATATAGATAAAGGTACTTTATGAATGATAATAGCTTAGAAATAAAATCGGTATCTTAGTGACAACATTTACAAGAAAACTTCTGGTTACTAAAAATATACTAAGGCGATTTTTTTTATGTGTGTGAATATCAATAACATATTGGGAATTAAAGTTTTCCTGTCAATACAATGATTAGGTTGGTTGACTAAATCACCAAATTATTTTCACTCACAGCAACATTTAGTCGATCAACTTAATAAGTAAAGATGATCTACCACCAGCATTTCAATCTCGTTAGCTAAAATTCGGTGAGTTATTACCAAGTCTAGGAAGATTAAAAGTAAATTACGAATGATAAATTTTGCTCCTTAGTGTAGTACAGGGACATTTACTTGGTGTTAATTTTTGTCGAACCAGAAAGGCTTGTGAACATGGCAAAACTAATGTTATCAACAGTTATTATTAATGCACTGTGTTATTAAAATAATTATTAATCTTTGGGCGTTTTGGTTTCTTGTTTTACGTAGTCTCTCGAAAGGGTTTTATAATGTTAAAAAACAAAACAAAAACTGTTGTGTATAACTTAAGGAAGAGGGAAGTTACAGAAAAACCAAAATTGAAAACGTGCCTTGAAGCCGAATATTTCAAAGTAACAAAGAATCATTACCATAATTTTGAAATATGAAAAGTACACACATTATACTAGATCTACGCACGATTAAATTGTAATATCCGATTGAAAGCAGGTTGATTTGAAGTTCGTTAATATGTAATGTAATACTTAAGGAATTCCACATCATTCACAGACGAGGTTGTTAGTTGTATTGCTTGTACAAGGTCCGGGCGTAGTCTAATGTTTAGTGAATTAGTGGGTTTATGTTTCGAGTCCCATTGTCGCATAAACGTGCTCTGCAGTTTAGGGCCGTGAGTGCGCTATAAGACTTGCACTCAAATCCCACTATTCAACCAAACAAGAGTAATGGAGGAGTTGACGGTAAGTGTTATTGACTAACCGCCTTCGCTCTAGCCTATCAGTTCAAAATTAAGGACGGCTGGCTATGTGCAGATAGTACATGTGTAGTTTTCCTCAAAGGTTCTAATATTAACAAACAAATAAATTCTTGTATAAAAAAAAAGATGCATACTAACGCTAGATACTGTATTTAACGTCGTTGCAGTCTTAACTATTTCTGTTGTATTTCAGAAGGACCATTTGTTATCAAAGCTGTATATTAAACTTAATGTCATTATAGTTGCTCATGCAGATGACCACTGACGTTAGCTAGCAATACAAGGACTGAAGCTGATGATTGCTTTGCACAGAGTCACGTATTATTTCTTTAAAACATTTTTATGGAACAATTTCCCTTGTGTAACAGTATCTTAGCGTAGGTCATTAAATAAGACTGTCACAGTAACGAACGGGTCAGAGGTCGAATCATTTTCAAAGGTTTCAAGTGATGAAATTACAATATAGATTTGTTATTACGAAAGCTTTGTGATTTGTGAATAATACAATAATTATTATTATAATGGTTTCGCTGTATTTTTACGACATGACGAGCTTTTATCACAATGGTTTCGTCGTATTTTCAAATCATGAAAAAAAAAAGCTTTTGAACCCTTGATGATGAACTCAACTGATGATTTTCCGATCAAAGTCGGAAGTCAGGATTCGACGTTCAAAATTATTTAAAGTATAAAATTGAGGGTTAAAACTTAAAACCCGTTCAGTGAAACAAGTAGTGATTAGGTAATTATGTATAATTTTTAATATAATTGTATTGATTTTATATTAACTATTTTATTTAATAAAATACGCCATTGTGAAATTGAATCTGTGAAAATTTAGCCAATTTCAGTTTCTTTGTGTTCACTCAAGTGTAAGTTGTTCTTGTATACAAAACGTCGCATTTGTTTTTAGTCTGTTAGTAACTGACTTATATCTAAATAATAAAGTTCGCGTCATCGTCCCCAAAACGGATATTTGAAGCAAAATCTTCATTACATCAAGATTTTGTTTTTGTACGTCTGTCATGCAACCAGATGATTAAGAGTCCTCTTACTCGTGTGCACGAGCTTGAAAATCTCGTGCTCAAAACAGACCGACTTTTAAACGTGCAAGATATTTGAAGCTGTCAGTGTGAGTGGTTTGTTGAGAAAATTGTTTATTATAATGTTTCGAGTAAAGAGTCTACGTAAGATAGCCGCGTTGTAATAAATTTATTTTATTTTCGGTTTCCATCAAGACGTATTACTTTCATCTTTTTCCTAAGATTAAATCGAGCTTGTAGGCGAGTTTGTCATTTTTAGTAATATAATAAATCACTTGTTCATTTACTATTATATGTTGCCAAATGTTCCCTTTTATATTAATGGAAATGGAAAGTATTGGTTTGTTTGTTTCAGAATTTCCACGTAAAAATACATAAAGGGTTGTCTGCATATAACTAGTGTTAAGCTTGAATTGATAGACTAGATGAAAGACAGCTCGTTAACAATAACCATTGCTAACTCTTTGGCTGCTCTTGTCTGACAAAAAAGTGATATATGATCGTCCCTATTATAAAACTCCCAAGATGCGGAGCGTTCTTTTCTTGTGGCAACGGGTCATGAACTTTCGGATTCACAATCCGAGCACCCTAACCGCTAGGCCACGATCGGCCGAATTAGATACTAAATTACTGAAATAATAGTATGAAACTTCTGGCAAAATCGTAAGATGAAATATTGGATTGTAATGAATATAGTTTTCTGGAGATAAAGTTCGTGTTGAATTTTTTCAGAAATAAGAAACTCCAGTTAGTGTTTAAAAAAATTAAGAATATAAGTAACTCATTGAACATTTAAAAAAACCATGAAGGAACGAAAAGCAATTCACTCGTCTACGGAATTTTATTTTTCGTGTCACAAGTCTCATAGAAACAGAAAGGTAATTTAAGGGCAAATTTCTTTTAAATTCCTTGTTCACAGATCACAATCCCACGAAAATTTATACAGAAGGGTCAGTAATTGAACAGTCATCTTTCAGTTATTTTGTTGCAGGTGTACACCCCGACAGGATTTGAACGTTACACGACGAGTTACGAGGTTGGGGACTATACAATAAATTTTACAGTTTGGGACACATCAGGTAAGAAAAATCGATCATCATTCTCTATGACGACGTGCATTTGATGTACCTCAAACTGCGTAAATACTTCAAACGCAGAAAATTCCATATTTCAATATTTCTGTTTAATTATTTTTTGTCCAGTAATTCTAAATTCTGTATATTCATGTATCATAGCATTACAGTTTTAAGTCTCGTTAATTATATAATATGTAGACATTCGATGGTCATCCATAAAGGTAAGCCCAACTCCAGATTAAACACGACCATTATAAGACGTTTCACAGGTAATTACAGAAATCACGACACAAGGAGGCTGAATAATTACAAGCCTTATTTATAGGGGTGTGGGGAGGCATTATAGCAGTATGATTTCGTAGGATCTTTATGATAATTTGAATCCATCCAAATGAAATACCCTATGTAGACTTCTAATGATGTTCGTTATTTAATATAATATGACTCCAGCTTTATTGTCAACCCAACACCCGTTTCTAATAACTTTCAATGTACAGTTAAAGACACAATTAAAGGAAACTGTGTAATTTCTAAGTGCTCTTAATGATACCTTTATTTTTTATTGCTGTAAAATGGGAGAAAATTTCAACTAAATTGTATGTGACCAAATTTTGTATGCTGCCAAGTTTAGTATCATGTGTTGACTTTTATCTTGGGTTATTTTAGTATTCATAAACAAAATATGCAAACTAGAAGAGAAACAAACAAAATAGTACGTTTAATGTCGCATGGTGGAGCTTCTATATGCCTGTTGGGTCCATTAATATATTTTTTTAAGAATCGAAAACACGGAAGTTGTGAGGCGTGTTAAAATTACACGCATGCAAACACACCATGCTCTAATTGTACTATACCATATGTTTTCACCACTGGTTGTATCATCGGGTCTAAAAACACTGTCTTTATTAATGGTTCTAGCCAGATTATATTACCAGTTCTAACCATCACGTATAGTAGTACTGATTCTCAAATATTGCATGCTTGCATCGATGGTTTATTTAACCTTTGTTGGTAAACATATCAAGTTGTTGCAAGCGTAAAACTCAATATTATAAACGCATGCCTATATAGATTCACAAGTCTCCGTGAAAACTTAGAAAATCGCTCGGGACATAATAAATGAGCCTATATAGGCAATTTTACCTAATAATTTTGCAGCGTGGGTGTCACTTGTAATAACATCTGAAACCTAACAACATTGAATCCGTAAGTTATATTGTTTTTTGTTTTCGGGTGAACGTAAAGTTGAAACGAACATAACAAAAGACAGTTCAGGCTCTCATTGTTTAGTGCATTTATAATAGTGTTTTGATATACGACAGCAGATGTCTTAAGGGAGACTACAGTGTGGAAATTGTTTTTATTTTAAGTTTAAAACGCTTGTTAGAATCTAAGCTTCAAGAGCCTGAATTGAACACATTCAGACCACGTCCAAATATGGTATAGAAACATCAAAAGTTCTTGTTGAAACCTAATCTTACGTACAGATAAGCTACTTATGTTCTATCCATCTAGAAAAAGATACATTAAGAGCTACATGAAGTACAAATTCAATCCATAAATCCACTCAAGCAACCAGTGTTTTAAATGCTTCCTTATACTTACAGCCAGAAAACATATCTCTTTTTAATCATTTGTATATCTACTATGCTAATAGAAAAAAAATATTCAGAGAAAGTAAACGCCTGCCTATTGGATTCACTGAATCGTTATTTTCAACGCGCTCTTGTATCTAAACATGCTTTAGTAGCCTAAGTACATGTGGATCTTTTGACATTGGGTAGTATTTTCGACTTTTTAACCCAGTCACTTCCTGAGATAGCTTATTCTAAGTTTAGTTTTATTTGCGCAAAAGCTTTTAGTGAGGAGATGGAAATGTACTTTTATGAATAGTTCTTGTTTGTGACATTACAGGTTGAAACTAGCGTTGAACATGTAGGTCGTTTGAAGGTAAGACACCGTATTAATGAATTTGAACAGAAATTAACTTCTAACAAGGATTTAGAAGTTGTAATTAAGGCTTAAGGTTTAATTTAAGATTTCACCGTAAGCAGAAAAGCACTGATGCTAATCAATACAAGCGGACAGTTTGTTTTTGTTCACTGAACCTTAAACAGCCAGGATATTTAAAGCTAATTTTTTATCGAGTGGGCCGTACATGAGACTGACAGATTGAATAAACAAGCTAAACAGTGGATTTTTATCTCGTGACTACTGAACGAACGAAACCCATTCAGCCTGGATTTTCATGCGGAGAGTCGTAAATAACGGACAGACTGACCAAATGCAATATTTTACTCACTGATTCCCATGTGAATGATAGATGGAATAAACATGTCATAGCGGCTAGGTTTTATCCGCTGAATTTTGAATAACTGAAAGATTGATAAAATATTCAAGTGAGGATTTTTTTTATCTAACGAAGTCTAAATGAGTGACAGATTGAACCAACATATGAAAGGTGGATTATTATTCAGTGGATCCTAAATGCCTGACACATTGGACAAAAAATGCTTCAGACTCGATGCTTATCCTGTGAATCCTAAACAACTTATAATATCCATTGAGTCCTAAATCACACGACAGGTTGAACAAATACATTGAAGGTTGAATCCTTATCCAGTGGATCGATCCTAAATTACGTTCGTATTTTCCAAACTGATAAAATTCTAGTGTATCCTAAACAGCAACGAACCTGCTGTTGTCGGCACATACAAAAGATCTAGTTTAAAAGTTTCGAAACAGTAAACGATATGTTGTGGTATTCCAATCATTATCAAAGAGAGTACCGCTAATGCATATAATATATATGCTTTATGAACACAGATGATACCATCTTATTAGTAGGAGCTAACAAAGTAGTAAGTTACTTTTTACTTGTCTCAGCGTTTGTAATTACTGTCTGTCTTCTAACTAGACTATTCGTTCGGCAATACCTGATTACCCAAGTCATCATGCCGTTCTAATCCTAGCTTTAATGTTTATGACCAAAAAATGCATTAAACCATGACTGTACATGTTTTAAGCTATTTACATGTAATTAACATGGGCTTGGAATACTTACTTCATAGTAGCTTATGCTAAAGAAAGTCCATCCATGCTTATGTAATTCATATAATGAACAATATATTCTAACGCAACACAGCTGTTTACTGAATCATTATTTGTCTTGTGTACCTATACATTTCCATGTTTCAATGAACATTAAAAAATGGAAAATACTACGATACTAATTATTTTATCAATCTTTACAGGTGCTATTTCAACTATCGTCGTCAGGTTTGGCATGGCTTAGTGGTTAGGGTGATGACTCGCAATCTGTGGGCTGCAAGCTCCAACCCCATCACCGAACATGCTTGCTCCTTCAGCCGTGGGGGACCTTTGTAATGTGACGGTCAATCCCACTATTCGTTGGTAAACAATAGCCCAAGAGTTATCAGCGGGTGGTGTTTATTAGCTGCCATCCCTCTAAGCTATCACTTCTAAATTAGTGAAGGCTAGCGCAGATAGCCATCGAATAGTTTTGCGCGAAATTCCACAAACAAACAAACTTGTCACTACAAGCTTGTCCCTTCAAATCAGGTTGACGAAAATATAAGAATTATTTTTTCAGTTGCACTTGTTAAACGGCACCATTTAAAACAATTGGTGCAAAAGCGTAAAAGATAAGTAAAAATTATTTTATATTATTTAATAAAGAAATCCATAAACTTCAGTTAATTTTATCTTTTCAAAAATTAGTTCAATTAGGTAAAAATAGACGTAATATAAAGCAACAGATCTAGATCTGCCCATAAAAAAAATAAAGCCAGTTGGGTTGTACTTTATTGTTATTTTGTTTGAAAAAGTAGCTCACACATTTATTTAAAAAAATCAGAAAGTTTTAAGATAATTTAGATGATATTTTAGGTAATGTTTAGCTAATATTCGACTACTCTTTCAGGTTCATAAAAGGGGGGGGGGGGAGGGCTAAATTATAAAAATTATTTCATTGAACGTTTCTATGTTATTTTATTTTTTTGTGCCACAATATTTCGCATTCATTATCAATTGTTCCTCGGTGGCTGAGTGGTAAGCCTGATAATTTATAACGCCCAAATCCGGATTTCAATACACGCAATGAGCAGAGTGTAGATAGCCCATCGTATAGCTTTGTACTTAACATTACGTTGACGCTTACTATAATGGAAGTCGAAAGCATACGTTATACATGTAAACTCAGGAAATGGAGTCTAAGAGATGTGAAATACAGAACTAAACCAACGTAGAGAAAGTTCATTAAAATCATTTTATTTTCATAGTATTCAACTGTTATTATCGAACAGTATATCCATGCCAATAATTATTTTACCTAGTTAAGGCTTGTGAGTGAAAACGGGTTTATTTGCTTCAGCTAGGTCTTGTGCAAAGCTGAACAATGGGCTATCTTGTTTGTGTCTGCCGAGTGAATTGAATCCAAAATGTTAGCGTTTTAAGCCCTCAAATTACAACTAAGACAACAGTTGACAATAGAAGTGTCGAGCATTATAAATGATAAAGTAACAGAAATAAGGCTTAAAAGATTTTTAAACCTAAATTCCTGCCACGAATTTTTATTTTAATAATTATAGAAACATGCAGTCGCGAACAATGAATAATGATAACTAGATGTTGAATTTATTAATGGTACAAAGCATTATCACAAAAAATACAAAACAAAAGTGAATAAGCTTTACAGTGCTTTAAGGTTTAGTATACGAGATGTTTGCTTTACACAGTGATTCTCAAAATTTTTCGTCGGCTGATCACTTCGGAGGGACAAAAGACCCCACACACCACACTTTGAGAACCAATGTTTTACACGGAGCGTTACGTGTTATTTTCATGCTACCATACATTTTATCAATATGATAATGTAGAATATTGAGCCAAGTGCTTCATATTATTCTCCACAATTCAGCCAAGTTGGTGATGTTCAAAATCTCGAGTTATGTCTTTAAGAGATATAGGACATAGAGTACAGATCGTGCCAATGACAGCATGTTAGTTTAAGAATAGCAAATTATATTAGCATGAATTGATCTCAGTAGATGTTTAGTTCCCCGAAAACATTTTCTAGAAGAGGTAACTAAACCAAAAGACTAAAATAGCTATCAGATCACAAACTGTAGAATAAGCAAGAGTGAAGATGAAAGATCTTTACAGATGCGTCCTAATTTGAATTATGTGGCAATAATCAAAGAAACTTTGTTCGACAATGGAGAGGAGAGCAGTTTTATTGTCAATGTAAAACATCTACAGTAAAGAAAGAACAGGTTTGGGGCTGCACCTTGGCCAACGGTGTCGGTGACCTAGATAAAATTGATGGCACCTTGGCTGCTGACACAGACATATTCTGATCCATCATGCCATTCACTCAGAAACACGACTCTTCGAACGGAGATTCATCTTCCTGGAAGACAGTGATTCCATGAACACAAAAAATGTGAAAGGGTATTTCGGAACTAAACAGGCGGATGGAACACTCATAACAACAGTTTGGCCTGCCCAAAGTCTAGATGAGAACATTCTCGGGGTTTTATGGGTTTATGTAAAAATCTACTATGTCAAAATGCACCCAAACAGTATTTCTTCTTTTTTTTACTTTTTGGGAGTATTGTACGGTATGTACAGTATCGGAAATAATTATGGCAATGATAAAGAGAAAATAAAAATCAAATATAAAAGGAATGTCGCTCTGTGTTTCAGTAGAAGCTATGTGCAACACTGTAAAGAGGGTATGTGAAACTGGCACCGATAATAACAGAAAAGTAATCGATATAAAAAAAACAAATTCTCCAAAGTTGCTTACCTTTAATATTGTATATTATAGCCTAACAATTTGTACGAAAATATAATTATTATTCTTTGTTTCAGTAACCTTCTGATAGAAAAACTACTTTGAAATCCGACTAATTTATTCCTAACAATAAAAAAATAACATTTCGATGGTTCATCATTATATGTATCTTCCTTCGTAGCAATTATTTGAAAATCTTAACAAAACATTGAAGACTTCTTTAAATAAATAACAAGTACTAGGAAATTGGTGCTATAAAATGTATACATATTGAGTTTAAATAATCTCATGTGAGGCACTGTTGTAAGCTATCGATATTCTAAGACTGAAATACGATATAACATAATTATAGAAATATCATATAAATTAGATGATCTCTTAACGGTGATATAGAAGATGATATATTTATTTAAATCTGGACTCCAACCACGCCCAAAAGAAGTTGTATTGTTATTGAGTTCACTGCATTAGTTCAATTTACTTTTTCCTGCGACAGCGTATGATCTCTAACACAGTTTCCAGTTTTTGATATTAATTTCTTTTACCCTTTCCAGGTGCCCACGCTTATAATACTGTGCGCCCTCTAGCGTATAAAGATTCCAACGTTTTCTTCTTGTGTTTTCTTATTAGTGAACCTGATTCTCTAGAAAACACTATGTACAAAGTAAGTTGAATAACACTATTTATTTAGTAGTCATATACATATATATGTATGTATATTGTCACAATGCTGAAGGAGTAATAATACGTTAAACCTGCGTTTTGGTTGTATTTTTACCCGTATTTTTATATTTTTGTACTCCAGAGATATTTCTTGGTGATTTCTTTACCGTTACAAAGTATGATTTTTAAAATGACATATTTTCAATTCTAAAAAATCTTTTTTAATACCTATTCTAGCAAATTACCAAAATGCATTTATTACATTAAAAACTTCGTAAGGTAATATAAAGAAATTATATGACCATCTATTACTTTAGCTTCGTATCAGCACTAAAGCAAATCTTACACTGAACTGTGACAAATACAACAAACAGTTAAGATTGACTTTTCAATGTATTGCTATTAAGGAATGAAATGTTTTGATTTTCATTTAACAAGAAAAAATTATTTTAGACATCACCATAAGTCAAAATAATAATTATTATTAATATGTACCTAATTTTGGCCAGCCGCGTTTAGCCGACTGGCTTCTTGGATGTTCTTGTAAGTCACCACACATCTTATTTATTCACCTTAATAAAAATATCGATAGTTGAAAAGCATTGCACAAAAGTGCTGATTTGGTTCAGTTTTTTTCATACTAAATATTTAGGTTTTTGCAACTGCATTGGTGATTTAACCACAATTAATAACAACACAAATAACTTGAACAATTCAACTACAGCTCGAATGATGAGATTTTTTGTTAAACCGAGCATGATCCATAGAATGTTCAAAGCTCATGTTATCAGCACTTAAATAAATATTCATTGAAAGTTATAAGTAATGATTCATGTCTCTGTTCGTTCTATCCATTATAATGTTGTTATTTTTTATGGGTCGATTGTTTAGCGCTGATAATCTCCTATCTACTCTATTGTTGAACTGAAAAATATTTGTTGTTTTGCAAATTTCATATTTCTGAGGAAGTTGAGATAGTTCCTTTTATTATTATTATCTGTTTATTAGACGTTGTTACCAGACGCACAGCACCCACGCTATAATCTATTTACTGAACGCTGTTACCAGGTTTTTGACATCGACATTATTATCTGATTACTGAAATTTGTTACCTGGTGTCTGATACTCACATTATAATCTGTTTACCAGACTTTGTTACCAGTTGTGTTACACTTACACTGATATTTGTTTACTAGACGTTGTTGCCAGGTGTATGACACCCAGAATGTTATATGTTTACTAAATGTTTTACCACGTTTTGTGATACCCATATTATTATCTTTTTACTTGACGTTTTTACCAGATGCTGTGATACTCGCATTATTGTATGTTTACCAGGCAGTGTTACTAGATGTGTAACACATACATTATTTCGTGTTTCAAAAAAGAGTAAAACCAAATGCACCCAAATCCTACATTTATATATAGGGTGCCCCAAAAATTAGTTGCTCCACACTTAACCCATTGCCTTACCTTGTCATAAATCTATTCGAAAAGTTGTTCCTAATCAGTTTGGGTTTATATAAACTATTATTTAAGCTTATTGTCTTATAAACATACATAAAATATTTTGCATTATATATCACGAATTGTTCATTATTCACAAAAAATAGTATAAACGGGTCAAACGTTTTGTGAAACAAACAGTAAAGCAATGGGTTTAAATCTCTTATACCTGAATAACATTTGAATTGAAGAACCAGAACTTTGTGGTTCGTTTTCAGTCTGTGTCTCATTATTATGTCCTGTTCACATAATATGTACACATTAATTTCAAACAAATGAAATTTATAATTTAATTAGCATACTGCTTGGAGAAACTAGACCATCCAGTATATAGAATAATAGTCAGCGCGATAAACGATATTTTACTCTTTAAATATCCTTACACTTGAATAAAAAGACATTTTCGTAAATAAACAACCAATACCATAAATATTTGTCAGAAATCTGTTTTTATTTTCTACAATACCTCGAAATACTGTATGAATTTTTAATGACACAAATGACAGAAATACGCGTATTAAACATAAGCAGTGTTTAAAAACTCTTGACAGTGATTTGGTATCAAGTTGATTTGTGTGATCTACTATCCATGTTTTAATACTGTATTTTTGTTTTTTACATTCTTGTGTAACACACAAACAACATCTTGAAATTACGACAACACATGGTATGACTTACGACTTCACAGACAATGAATATACCGGTTGAATTACCGATAATATCCATTTCATAACACTTGCAAATTTCAAAATAGTCCAGTGTTTGACATAGTTATATCATGTTTACTTTTTTGCTAAACTTATCTCACATTTAGCTTCTAATAGCATGATCATGGAGAGAATTATTCTATTATGAAGCTTAGATCATTCTGCTATAACAACATGGTAAACAAACAAAAGTTAAATAACCATCTCAGGTTCCTCATTCAATTATTTACAGAACCTATAGTGCATTCGAGAAACCCTCTGCAATTTAGATTTTTAACAGTTCCTAAAACATCTTCTGCTTGTTATTTTCATTTGTTTTATGTTTTACGAGATAACTATAGTATGAAAGTTTCGGGATGTTATTAACATATAAAATTGTCTATAATATCTTGATTTATTGAAAAGAAAACAATAGAAGTATACATATTGATGTATAAGGTAAACTTTTATCATGTTTGACACCATTTTATTAAAACTTATTGATAATGTTTTCTAAGAACTTTGAGTAAACTTCTCAGCCTGATACATACAAGTTTGAAAAAGTATCCATTCCTACCACCAATCTCAAGTAAAACAATAAACTTCATTCATTCCTCCCATAAATCCCCAGTGAAACGTAGTGAGATTCATTCATTCCTTCCTCCCACCAATCCCAAGAATTTGGCTTTTTTTTTCTGGTTTAACCCATAAGCACGAGTTTTTGTAATATCACGACATGTCTTGGTTTTTAGTTTTCTATCTGATTTTAGTGGTATCCAGAGGTCAGAAACAATTCTACCAATGTACCGGTCATTCTATGCGGTTGTCAAAGTGATCTCCGCACGGACAGCGACACCTTGACCTCCCTGGCAAAAATTAAAAAGGCCCCAGTCAGCTCAGAACAGGTCAGTAAATTATTAGTGTGCTGTAAACGGTGTTCTAGTGTTATGTCAGTGATCTATAGAATAAAAAAACTGTTTAGGTCACTAAAACCACTTGCCACATTTATTGATCTACATAATACATACATTAGACCATAAACACTACTGATAACTGTTTTGTTAATGAATTTAATCATAGCACCTACTGTTGAAGTAACTGACAGATATTTTCGCAGTATATATATATATATATGCATCAGCACGTGCCAATTTTATGTTTTATAATTGGAGAATAGTTTCACCACTTAAACTTGCTGAATTTTGCTCATGACCATGATCATGCTGATTTCTCCAAGCCCGTTCCCTTGGCTGTGGTTTCGCTAGATAATAGATAGGGACAGTGGGAATCTCGTTAATCCATTCATGCATTCATTTGTTTCAAAACAAACTCAGCAAAGTGCAACTAGGTCATTCTCATATGGTCATGTAACGAATGCAATCCTTAAACTCATCTACAAAATGATTGTGAAATGCTTTAGCGCTTTTTCGGTGAAAATTTGTCTCATTTCGAAATTTCTGCAGATTATAAGATTAACTAAATTTTCTTGGCTTTAACTGTTATCGTAGCTTGTGACTAAACTTAAGAAACAAACTAGTAGAATGGTTACTGATTAATACTTTGTACAATCTTATTCAAATTCTTACAAGTAAAGCTTTACTTACAGTTATATGTTTTAAACACGCAAGATGGCCAGTTTTATTAAGCTAATATAATTCAATAAGCCAACAAATGACACAGAAATAATTATAATCGAGTATTTTGTTAATTCACAGTTTGTCTTGGATTTAACAATAGAATTTTGAATAGAAGTCCTCGTATGTTTTACCTATCTAGCTCTGTTTGAGAGTAATAGTAGTAAATAACCGGGCTTTCAAACTAAATCATGATTTACGTTGTTGGTTTAAGTAGGCATTGATTGTTTTTGAGTTCTAAAGCATGTATGAAACCTTTCAACTTAAGCTACTCTATACAAGAGTTCATTATATGAGAGAAGGATGGATCTATTGGGCATTTTGAGAACGTTTACAAATAGTGTTATAGCAACCAGTCTTCATCTAGTATCATTTACTGAACCTTTACTTTATTGTTAGGCTTTAGCAGTATCCAGGCAGATTGGGGCTACTACGTACGTTGAGACTTCATCAAGATTGAGTGGACGAAGCGTCCGAGATGCATTCGAGGTAGCAGCACTAGCAGCTTTGGGAAAACTCAACAAAAATCATGTGACTGTTCCACGTCACACCACCTTAGTCAAATCCAAATACAAGTCAAAGATCTACCTTAAGGATGATTTTCGCGATCGAGCAAAAAACTGCATAGTAATGTGAAAATGTAATTTTGTGTATTTGCTTAGTTTAAAACTAGTCACCTGGACTGTGGATCTATCGTGATAGGGAGCCTGTCATGTCACGTCATTTTGAAATCAAGTTTCTATTGGATGAAGGATTACGTAGCTTGGTAATGAGTCGTTTTAAGAGGCTCCGCTTTGACAAACGAAAACTGAACTGAGTTTCAGAATAAGAAATAGTGGAAACAGGTGGTAATCTCTTTAACGTTTCAACTTGAAATATCGCGAGAGAAACAACTAACACATTATTTTTTAAAACATTTCAAATAGTTACGTGAACACACTAGATTTGAAAATAACGTTCGTAAATGCTCGTGAATTCTTGAGTCGTTTTTATGGTTAGTATGGAAGCGTTTTTAATGGTATCACATATTTCATCCAACATCTGTTGGGTCCCAAACGTAATAAGTAATTGAAAAAAACATTTAACAATTTGTCTAGTGCCATGCATGCCTACCCTAACAAACTTAGTTATGTATGCTAAGATAGGTTAGAATTGTATTTAGATGCTTATCAATAACTGAAGTCACTTAGAAGAGTTTTGATAAACTATTATCTGCTCGAACAGTGTTCTAATTCAGTATCATTTCTCATTCAATAATAAATTAAAATAATAACAGTTCAATTTTTAAAAACGTTAAAATAGTACAATGAAAATGTTATAAAGCCACTTGAAAACCTTCAAATATTTGTGGTATAATTAAAAACAATTAACCCAATTTAGTATTAGTTGTATATAATAACATTACTAAGGAATTTCGATAGGTGATAAGAATGTAATATCTGGATAGAAGTAGAATCAACTTCAAACAGTTAATATTTGTTTACTGGGAAACGTTTGGTATTAATTCAATGTAACTTCCACGTTGAAGTTCTTAATGGAATACAACTTAACATAATGTTAAGATCACATCCGTGATAATAGACATCCATTGTTATTTCAGCTGAGTGTATAATGTGCTTCGAGTTTGATTGAATAAGGGCGGCGGAAAAGAATGAGTATTGACAAAAAGTACATGTTATAATTCGCATTGATATACACAGACAAATGAATGAGATGCATTATACTAATAACGTACGTGTTATAATTCACATTGATATACACAGACAAATGAACGAGATGCATTATACTAATAACGTACATGTTATAATTCGCATTGATATACACAGACAAAAATGCATCTCATTCAATACTAATAACGTACATGTTATAATTCCCATTGATATACACAGACAAATGAACGAGATGCATTATACTAATAACGTACATGTTATAATTCACATTGATATACACAGACAAATGAATGAGATGCATTATACTAATAACGTACATGTTATAATTCACATTGATATACAAAAACCAATAATGTTTTTATTGATCCGCCCCGTTTCAACATTAAAAAGTTTGATTGATTGTATAGCCAGAAATCGAAAGCCCTCAAAGCTTCAGTCTTTGATATGATCTGAGTAATTTCAATTTATTCGAAAAACATTTTTAAAATGCCAGACTCTGTTGTTAGTCAACAATGAACGATGTCACAGCAGGATGTTTTTGTTGAGTTTAATATTTAAAATACTTTTTTACAATTTTACTCCGTAGAAAAGTGACAAACAGTAAGGATTGTAAAAAAATAATTACGTAAATTACATCCGTAACGGGATAAAAAAAGAAGAGTTAAGTGTGAAAATAAAATACACTTCATTAGATCTGCTAAAGTTCATTTTACTATCAATAGAGAAAATAAAACATCACGACTAATTAGAAAATAAAATGTGTAATGTTGTATAAACTTATTAAAACGTTCTTCATATACAGAAACACGGGACTAATTAAACACTAATACTGCTGTATAGATTTATTAAAATTTTCTATAATCCATTAAGTACAAACATAATTATAAAGTAAAGAATATTGAAGAATAATTTAAATAAGATTCCACTATATGAGTTATAAAGAAACCGTAAAATGTGGCTTTTTTATTATAAGAACTATTAAGGTTCGAATTCACGAATTAGTAGATTAGAATATATACTTTTTATCATTGTTCAGCAAAGATTATATAATATTTAGGAACTTATAAAAAAAAAAATGTCCTGTAATAATTAAGAGCTAAAAACTTGAATTATATTTCATAAGCAAAAACAGTACGTTATTATTACTAAAGACAAAGTGCAAATAGAAAGGAAAAACAAGAAAAGGCAAAACTAAAAGTGCTTTTAAAGTGATTTATATACGTTGTTTTTAATGTTTCATGTCTGTTGTCTGCATGTATTTAGAATGTGTGCTGTTGTTTCAAATACAAGTGGAAAATGCCATGTAAATTGTATTATTCAAATGTTCGAATTAACACTACATCTTTGTGTGTTTGAATGTGTACACAACGTGTAAAAACGATGCTTTCTATGGAGTGGAAAAGATCGTTTTCCTAATTTGAGATGCGGTAAATGAAGGCTACTTTTGTAAATTGTGTGAAATCTGAATATAAAGTTGTTATGAACAGAATTTTGTATGTAAGAATGATGGTTTTGGAGTTGAAATAAAATAATTTTTTAGAATCATTTTTATAATCTTATATTGAATAACAATAATATGTAACGTGTAATGTCCGATTTAAATTTGAAAATATTCCAAACACAACTATTCATTCTCTTCCTTCAATTTTCCCAATGTACAAAATTCAAAGAATAGTTTATCTACTAGCCTGCCTCATAATTTCTGCCTCCTAGTGGCACAACGGAATGTCTACACTTTAATTTAATAGTATCGGACCACTTCTCAGGAACGTTCATCGAGTCTAGAAAACATAAAATTGTTCTGTTATACTTGCAGCAAAAAATAATTATAACAAAACAGTGCTAATATTTTCAATGAAGCGTTTCAGTCCTTCAGTGTCACAGCGGTATATCTGCTGACTTTCATAGCTAGAAACCGGTCTTCAATACCCGTGGTGGGCAGAGCATAGATAGCCCATTGTGTAGCTTTGTGCTTAACTTCAAACAAACAAACAAACATTCACCGCAAAATCATGTTTTAAGTGTAAAGACATACTAGGTACTATAAGTGTATGTATGTACACACACACATACACCTTGGAAATACTGCATAAACCATTTTTTAACGTTAGCAACAAATGACATGATCAGGTGAAAATTCACGTGGTAACCTCTAACATCAGAAAACAATTCTTCATTTATTGGATGAACTCTAGCAGTTTGTCGCATTTAAGATTTTTCTTCTTTAGAAAAGTCGTAAAATGAACAATATATAATTTGTTGATTATAAAAATACATATCTTTGTTAGGAGCTGTACAATTCATCGCTAGAAAACTGTCTTCGTAACACACTTGGAATTTGATCATCCTTGAAGATCTTGTATTTGGATCATAATTACAATGCAAAAATCATTTTGGTGTTAGGGCCACAGAATTAGAAAGTTATGCCGTAACTCTCAGCACTATAAAAAGTTGTTCATCGTTCGATTTCATGAATCTTAACGACTGAGTACTTATATTAAAAATTCAATGTGCCATAATTTTGTTTTTCGCCCATAAAAATAAAACTTCCGTGTCTGAGCATTTCAAAGTAACTAATCGTATTATTTGTATATTTAAATGATTAACTGTTCTATGATGAACGAAACACCAACCTAATAACATGTTAAAATATTCAGTGAAATAAGAACTTATTTTTTAAAAAAATGGAAACGAATTTGGTACAAATGATTACATGTACACGTCGTACTTACTTTGTGAAACATTTATAATATGTTGTTGGTGTAGTTTGGAGTTTCTGAGGACACTAGTTCATCTGAAGACTCCACTATTTTGTTTCGAAACTGATTCTGTACTTCGATGTTTAACATATATTTCATTGTTTCTTATAATATTTCAATAATCGGAAAATCTAAAATACAAATTTAAAGTCAAATTTATAGAACCACAAGGGAATGTCCCACACAAATAACACGTGTTGTGGCTGTCTTTTATAACTTGCAAGCAACTTGGCTTACCTGCTTATGATTTGATGTATTAATATCTCTATTGAATTTAGAAAGCTTATTACATTTAACAAGCTAAAACCCATCACGAAGAGCCTGTAGTTTAGTAATGTGCGGCTTTAAATGTAAAAATCACAACCCATTTGTCGACTTATGAACAGAAAATATTTAGTTGTTACTTTTTACCAGAAACGCCATAAATTGAAAACGTGGAAATATCGATTTCATACAAACTAAGAATAGATTCAATTTACAAGCAAAGTTATAAAACAATGTTGCTGTGTCTATATGCCTCAGAATGTGGATTTGTTTGGTTATTTTAGAGCAACGCCACATTGGTCTATCTTCTGTGTCCACCACGGGGAATCGAACCCCGGATTTTAGCGTTGTAAGTCCATAGACTTATCGTCGCCCCATCGGGGGACCAGAATGTGGAAAACAAAAATGTATATTAAAAGTTTAGATTTTGGACACTAGAGGCACTACATATTAAAAGTCAATTCAGTTTGTTTGTTTAATTGTAGCCAGGCACAAAGCTACACAATGGGTAATCTGTGCTGTGCCTACCAAGAGTATTGGATAAATTTGTAGCTCGAGTCATCAGGAAGTGAAACGAATATGTAATTCCATTTTAATAATCTTTAGTCAATTGGAGCTATGCATACCTCTTGAAAACAAAAGTTCGGCTATCATTGTGTATCGCGAATAAATTGTCTAGTTTCCTTTAATGAGGTTAATTATTTAGATAGAGAAACTAAGAGGTGCAGGTACATAAGATAAAGCAACTTTAATACATATCTTTTCTGAAATGCACAATTCTAAGTAAGTAGAAATATGAAAGAGCTTTTTAAGTAATTATTCTTTGACTTTTTCACAATATATCTTAACTTTTATCATTATGTGAGTATTTCTTGTCAATCTCACAAAACTTTAACATAAAGTGAGATACGGTTTCTTTAATTCAAGCTTCTTAGTTTTGTCACTCTTCAGAAATGGTGTAGTGATTAAAAGGTATAGTTAATTCATAGAATGAACTGAATTCCGCAATAAAATTGACCTGAAAATATTAAAACAATTTGAAAGACAAAAACTTACCTTGTCATCAAAACTGTATGATTGCTTTAAAACGAACACTAAAGTGTGACAACAAACAAAGCAAATCAGGGAGACAGTGAATCCAAAAGCTACTGGAAATCTTTCTTCTAATGGTGAATACGAATAATTATGATATGGTGTTGGATTATCGCCCTAAGTTGGATAATTGTTGACATTTTTACAGTTCTACCATAGGCTGTTGAACTACGTAAATGGCAAGTATTATTGAATTATAAGTCATGAGTTATGAGTCCCTTTGTAATATCAAGTAATGTCTAGCATTCCCGCCTATAAGTTCATAACATCCTATGAACTGTCATACTCCTTTTTATGAATTGAAATGTTTGTATATATCTTTTTTTTCTATAATTGGGGATATGTGGCTCAATCTAATAACCTATTACATATAATAATAAGTTATATTTTAAACTTTTTTTGAAAAGAGATACTTTACGATATTAGAAATTCTAAAACCGAGTTGATTTACTTCAACCTCAAGATTATATTTTGAACCTAAAATCTTTTATTTCATATGGACAAAGTTAAATAAAGTTTTTATAATAAAATTGCTAATTCTTAATGTAATGATTCTTATATTGTAAGTGTTTGATAAATGGGTGACTTTTGTAATGTAAAATTTTAAAAGAAAACTAGAAGTAACAGATGTCAGTAAAATTATTGCTGGATATTTTAATGAACTAAATAAACTCAAATACCACTTTGGCTAAGTTTCTTTTCAAACTAAACGTGCACACTTGCCTCCCCCCCCCCCACCAGTGGCACATCGGTATGTCTGCGGACGTACAACGCTAGAATCCGGGTTTCGATAACCGTGGT